AAACCCCGTCTCTACAAAAGATGGGCAAGGTGGCACCTGCCTGTAGTACTGGCTACTCAGGAGCCTAAGATGGGAGGATCACTTAAGTCCAGGATGTGAAGGTTGCAATGAGCTGAGATCATGCCACTGTGCTCCAGCCTGGGTGACATAATGAGTTTCTCTCTCTCTCTCTCTCTCTCTCTCTCACACACACACACACACACACACACACACACCCCTATTATGTTGACTAGTGGATCTGATTAAAAATAAATAAACTGGGAAAAGTGGCTTATTTTTGTTTAAAAACTTGAAAGGGATGAGAAATAGTTCCCCCTCTCATTCCCCAATCCTCCATTCCTACTTTTTCTCACTAGAACACTGTTATCAGTTTCTTGTGCATCCTCCCAGATGTCTATCTCACCCATGCCTAAGCCACTTTCAACACAAATAGAACATGCCATATCTATGAGTCTACATCGTGTGTGTTTGCCAAAGAGTATGCCTTGGGGACGGTTGTGTGGAAATACTCAAGATGTCTAGCACATGACTTTTCGGCGGTGGTGGCTAAGAATTCCCTTCTATGTATACACTGTGCACAAATGTGGCTCCCTAACCCCTACTGATGGACACTCAGGTCGCTTTGAATTTGCTGCCATGATATTTTTGAAACTTTGAAAATTTTTCAATAAAACGCACGTTCTGAACAATGCAAAAAGAAAACAGAACTGGGATAATTATTTTGATTTACCACTGAGTGAACACTCAGGCAACCCAGCCATAAAACAATGTGGCCACCCCAGGGGACCCCTCCCACCTCCTCCCTGTCTCAGTCAAGTCCTCCATCTACTTTAAAAACTTTTTTCCTTTTTTTGAGATGGAGTCTCGCTCTGTCACTCCGGCTGGACTGCAGCGGTGCAATCTCAGCTCACTGCAACCTCTGCCTCCCAGATTCAAGAGATTCTTCTGTCTCAGCCTCCTGAGTGGCTGGGATTACAGGCATGCGCCACCATACCTGGCTAATTTTTATTTTTGTATTTTTAGTAGAGATGGGTTTTCACCATGCTGGCCAGGCTGGTCTCACACTCCTGGCCTCAGGTGATTCCCCCATGTCAGCCTCCCAAAGTGCTGGGATTATAGGCATGAGTCACCGTGCCCGGCCTCCTTTAAAGATAACTTCTATCCAAAAATTTTAGTGTATAAATTTTATTTGGCTTCCTCTGAAATACTTAATTTGAAATATTTCAAAGCTACAGTTATAAGAATAATATATCTTGGTCAGGTGTGGTGGCTCACGCCTGTAATCCCAGCACTTTGGGAGGCCGAGGTGGGAGGATCATGAGGTCAGGAGTTCAAGACCAGCCTGACCAACATGGTGAAACCCCATCTCTACTAAAAATACAAAAGTTAGCTGGGCATGGTGGCATGTACCTGTAATCTCAGCTACTCAGGAGACTGAGACAGAAGAATCAGGAGAATCGCTTGAACCCAGGAGGCAGAGGTTGCAGTGAGCTCAGATCGTCCCATACTGCACTCCGGCCTAGGTGACAGAGCAAGACTCCATCTCAAAAAAAAAGAATAATATATCTTTATTTTTATTTTTTGGAGATAGTTTCCTTCTTGTCACCCATGCTGGAGTACAGTGGCGCAATCTCAGCTCACTGCAATCTCCGTCTCCCGGGTTTAAGTGATTCTCCTGCCTCAGCCTCCTGTATAGCTGGGATTACATGCATGCACCACCATGCCCAGCTAATTTTTTTGTTTTTCGTAGAGACAAGGTTTTGTCATGTTGGCCAGGATGGTCTCGAACTCCTGACCTCAGGTGATCCGCCCACCAGGCTTCCCAAAGTGCTGGGATTACAGGCGTGAGCCACCGCCCCCAGCCACTATCTTTCAATTAAATATATGGACGTTAATATTTGCCCATCCCCACATGTGGTCGGTCTCTGTCTCCATCTGGCCATGCACCACAGTACATCCACCGTGATGAGCAGACCTAGAGAGAGACAGGATGTCTGGGAAACGCAGGAGGAGCTCCCACTGTGCACAAGGGGCAGGATGCTCAGAAGTGCCTCCCCCAAATTTAGAACTGTGTCAAAGTAGGCGCAGGTGGGACGTCATGATATTTCACCTATTAATTCTTTTTTTTTTTTTTTTGAGATGCAGTCTCTGTCTGTCACCCAGGCTGGAGTGCAGTGGCGCAATCTTGGCTCACACAACCTCTGCCTCCCAGGTTCAAGCGATTCTTCTGCCTCAGCCTCCCTGGTAGCTGGGAATACATTAGCCTGTATCTTCTAAGACCAAGAGCATTTTCCCTGTAAAATCATATCTCCCTCGAGAACTCTACCATTGATATTAGCTAATAAACAGGCCATATTCAAATTTCCTAACTGTCCCAATAATAAACTTTAGAGGATTTTTTTTTTTTTTTTTTTTTTTTTGAGTCAGGGTCTTGCTTTATTGACCAGGCTAAAATGCAGTGGTACGGTCATAGCTCACTGCAGCCTCGAATTCCTGGGCTTCAGCAACCCTCCTGCCTCGTTCTCCCAGGTAGCTGGGGCCACAGGCATAGGCCACCATGCCATGGGTGGGGCGCTTGGCTCCGTGCCTGGCACCAAGGAGGTTCGATGTGTTTGCTATGATCAGTATCATCCTCTGTTGCATAAATTCCTCCTGGGGAACTGCTGGGTCAGAGGGCGTGTTCGCTGTCAAAGACGCAGCCACGAGCGCTCTGCGAGCCTGTTTCCCACGGCCTCGCCAACGCAGCAACCGCCAAGTCAGCCTCTTTGATCTTTGCCTTCTCAGAGGAGAAAAGCGAGATCCCGGGGAGGTTTTTAATTTGCATTGATTTTCTAATGAATGCGGTTCAGCATTCTTCCACGGAGGCTTTGCGGTTTTCAGAGCCGGCGGCAGGATCCTCCCCGGGGGAGACGTGGTCTTTGCTGGGGCAGAGCCAGGCGCTGTGGTGGAGGTGGGTTTGAGTCTCCGGGAGCGCGCGGGAGCTGGGCATGGCCCCGTGCGTGAGAGGATCTGGCATTTTCCTGGGCAGCCTCGGCGAAAGAGCGTCGTGGAGGGTGAGTTAAGTCTCGGGATTATACTCTGCCAAACAAAAAAAATCCGCATCCAAGGCCGGGCGCTGTGGCTCACGCCTGTAGTTTCAGCACGTTGGGAGGCCGAGGTGGGTGGATCACAAGGTCAGGAGTTCAAGACCAGCCTGGCCAAGATGGTGAAACCCGGTCTCTACTAAAAATACAAAAAATTAGCCGGGCGTGGTGGCAGATGCCTGTAATCCCAGCTACTCGGGAGGCTGAGGCAAGAGAATCACTTGAACCTAGGAGGTGGAGGTTGCAGTGAGCCGAGATTGCACCATTGCACCCCAGCCTGAGCGACCTAATGAGACTCCGGTCTAAAAAAAAAAAAAAAAAATCCGTATTCAATAGAATTGCCAAGAGAGCAGAAGACCGTGATTCACACCTTCATCCCTTAAGTAATGACAGCTCGCAGGTATTGATCGTGACCTAAGTACCAGGCCCTGTCTAGAGCTTTCTAAAATAGTGAACTCCCAAAGTCAGCATCACAACCCTGAGGGCGGTGCTGTGATTATTCCGGGTGTACAGAGGAGGAAACTCGAGGCTCAGAGAGGTAAAGACGCTTACCGAAGGTCACACAGCTGGCCGAGCCACGGTGGCTCAAGACTGTAATTCCAGCACTTTGGGAGGCCGAGGTGGGCGGATCGCCTGAGGTCAGGAGTTTGAGACTAGCCTGGCTTGCATGGTGAAACCCGGTCTCTGCTAAAAATACAAAAAATTAGCTGGGTGTGGTGGCGCGCGCCTGTAATGCCAGCCACTCCAGAGGCTGGAGAGTCGCTTGAACCAGGGAGGCGGAAGTTGCAGTGAGCCGAGATCGCGCCACTGCTCTCCAGCCTGGGCAACAGAGCAAAACTCCGTCTTTAAAAAGAAAGACATTAAAAAAAGAAGTTCACACAGCAAGTAAGTGCAGACAGGGGACTTGACGGATCTGACACCGTTAACCCATCCAGTTGTTTACCGAGCGCCTGTCTGGCAAAGGTCACTGTTTTTGGCGGAGCAGAAAGGTGAAGACAAAGATGCCTCCCTTTGAAGCGCTGGCATTCTAGGAGGTAGCACTGACGTTCCAGGGAAGGAGCTAATATTTAAGGGAGAGGGGCTGGCATTTGGGGGAGGGAATAATTTCCGGAGGCGATGCTAAAATGCCAAGGGGGAGAAACTGACATTCCAGGAGGAGAAACTGACATTCAGAGGGGAGGGCCTAACATTCCAGGGGGAGGAGCTAACATTCCGGTGGGAGGAGCTAACATTTCAGGAGGGTGGGCTAATATTTTAGTGCAATTACACACTGTTAATCACTACCTCTGTTTCTAACATTTTAGGGTAATTACATGTTCTTAATCACTACCTCTGTTTCTCTCAGGCAATAAAGGAGGAGGTAACCTTTATGAGGGAGGGGGTAACATGCCAAGGGGAGGAACTGACATTTCAGAGGGAGAAATGGACATTCTAGGGGGAGGAGCTAACAATCGGGGAGGGGCTAACACAGCAGGAGAGAAATTGACATTTCAGGGGGAGGAGCTAACGTTGCAGAGAAATTGACACGCCAGGGGGAGGAGCTAACGTTGCAGAGAAGAAATTGACATTTCAGCGGGGAGGAGCAAACGTTGCAGAGAAGAAATTGACATTTCAGCGAGGCGGAGCTAACATTGCAGGGGAGAAATTGACACTCAGGGGGAGGGGCTAACATTCAAATGAGGGTGCTAACATTCAAGGGGAGAAGCTAACATTGCCTGGGAGAAACCGAAATTTTCAGGGGCGGGGCTGACACACTCTATCCTTCAGCGCCTACAGCCTCCGCCTCCTTGCCATACCTTGTTCCTCTAAGTGTTGGCTGAGCTCATAGTAGGTGCAAATGTCTGCCACTCTGAGGATTTGAACGTGCCTGAAAAGAATGGAGTCTGCCCTCATAGAGCTCGCAGGCTGGGGGCAGACAGTTCTGAACGGAACGATCCCACAGAAAGGCATTCACCTCCCAGGCAGGAGAGGTAATTACGCGCTCTTAATCACTACCTCTGTTTCAGGCACTACGGGAGGGAAGGCGGCGCCCCCAGCGTGGCCTGGTTTGAGGTGTTCCCAGCCGTAGGAGACAGACAGACTGTCATCAAGTGTCGGAAAATAGCTGTTATGGGAATCCTCACCTCCTGACACCTTCCCAGCCCCGTGCGCCCGAATCTCTCCCGCGTGGCTGCAGAGTTGCAGGTTCTGCTCCTGTTGACGGGCAACCCCGTCATCTCCATTGCTCGCGGCAGCACTGCTGGGGCACAGCAGCTCCTGGGGGCCAAGGTCCCAGCCAGGACGTGATGGCAGGGCCGAGACTGGAACGCAGAACTGTGAGTCTAGAGCCCGGGTCCTTCCCCATCCACCACCAGATGTGGTGTGGGTTTCCTGGTTTCCGTTCCTGTTCACATGGAATAAAAGGACAAGGCTGGGGAGTGACAGCCGCACCTCACGTCCCCCCACTATGGAGGGGGATTTTTGTCTGTTTCCTTTGCTGCTGTGTCCCCTGAACCTGGGACATGCCCTGTGCTGAGTGATGCCTCCTTGCACACCTACAGTCTCACACGGACTGATCTGGGTTTACTAAGTGTCAGTGATTCGCTCCTTTGAAAGTTGGGGCTCCTGTGACTCCCATTGTGGTGGTGGGTGCTGGGGACCCCCCCCAGAGGAGTCAGGCCTAGACTCTGCTCATGCCTGTAATCACTTAGCACTTTGGGAGGCTGAGGTGGGAGTCAGGAGTTCGAGACTAGCCTGGCCAACATGGCGAAACCCCATCTCCAATAAAAATACGAAAATTATTGGCTTGGTCATTGCTTAAACTTGCGGGATAAAAAGTGAAAAAAACCCCACAAAAATTAGCCATCTGCAGTGATGGGATAAAGCAAGCTACTCTAGGAAGAAGAAACAGCAAGGGCAAAGGCGGCATGTGTGGCTGAGGGTGTGAAGCTGCACGGCTTGTTCTAGGGACCGCAGAGGAGAAAGAAGGGAAGTGGTAAGGGAAGAGGCTGGTGAGGTGGGCGGGGCCCCAACCAGCAGGGCTGCAAATGCCAGGCGGAGGGGCTGGGGCCCTATCCTGGGATCTATGGGAAGAGAGCAGTTGGGGAAATAAGTGAGTCCTTCTGCTTTCAGAGGAGGAAACTGAGGTTTATGTTCAGACTCTGCTCGGCAGTCTCTCTGATCTCCAGCCAGACCCCAGCTCCCACTTCCTCTTCTGTCCACTGGGGAGCTGCCCACACAGTCCCCCTGAGTCTTCAGGGGAAGACCAGGCCACCAGCTCCTGCTCAGAATCCCTTGAAGACACCTGCTCCCCATTTGCCGGTGAGTTCCGGACACGAGGCAACACAGATGTACACTGAGGCCCACAGACAGAGCAGGACCTGGATGTGAAACCGCCGAGCTGACATCAAGCCTCTGAAGTCTCACGGATGTGAGTTTGAGTCCAGGCTTGGTCTCTGCTTTGTGGCGGGATGTGGAGAAGGTGAATCCCTCTCTCTGAACCTGAGAGGTGCAGCTGTGCAGGACAGCCACCTCCTGGGGCTTTGAGGCTGAAGCATGCAGCTTTCCCGGGAGGATGAAGGAGGCAGCAGGGTTTAGGGGAGTGAGGTGGGAGACAGGGGCTAGCTGTTTGATGGATGGGACTTTGTCCAGGGGCACTGGGGAGCCATGGGCAGGCTATGAGCTGAGGAGAGGCAGGTCAGCTCTGAAGCCATGTGAGGATGGACTGGAGTGGTAGACTGGAGGCAGGAAGGAGGAAGAGGCGGCAAGGGAGGAGGAAGAGGTCCAAGCTGGGCCATCATAATGGGGATAGAGTGGAAGTGACCGGGCAGAGTCAGTCGGGAGAGAGAACGGGGAGAGGATGGTGCCAGGGTCTGGGTGGCTGGTGGGGCCGTCCCTGAGGCAAGGGACCTGGCCGGGTTTCAGGGACGGCAGTGGGACATGCTAACATGGAGGCCTGTGGGTGCTAACACCGTTGTCCAGCCACGGAGGACCCTCCGGAGATACAGTGGACAGCACCCCCTGCAGCCCTCTGCCTGCCCAGGGTTGCCCTCCTCCTCCTCTGTGCCCTCGCTGGCTGCCCTCACCTCGTACCTCCTGGTCACGGCCAGCCACAGCCTGGTGATCTGGGCTGCAGGGCCCCTCCCGCCTCCCTTGCTGTCTGCTGTCTGGCTCAGCCACCAGGCCATGGCCGATGCCATCTTCACCACCATCCTGCTGCTGATCCTCACCTGGATGTGCTCCGGCTGGCCGCTGGGTGATGCCTTCTGCCACCAGGACCCCAGCCTGGCCTTTCCGACCTTCTATGCCAGGGGTCGCCTGCTGACCCAGGCCACCACATTTCTCTGCTGTAGCCCTCCTGGGCACAGTGTTCTGGGCTGGCACATTCTGGCTCCTTCTGCTGGGCCTGGGCGGGCTGGCCTTCGCAACTTGGAGGACCAGGTGGACCGGGCAGATACCCCCACTAACAGGACACTAGCCGGAGGGCCACCCGGCTGACACCAGGACTCCGGGCATTCCCCACATTGAATCAGCTGGTGTTTGGCTTTGGGGTGCCTCTGGGGGTGCTGCTCAGACCCCTGGGGTTCACCCTGGCGGGGGCCTGCAACTACCTCAACCCTCTGCTCTACATGTGTGGGGACCAGTCCTTCAGGCGGCTGCTGGCCCAGGCCCTCTGGTCCTCCCAAGAAGGAGCATCTGAAGCTGCACAGGTGGCAGTGGGCATGGGGGATGGGCCCGTGCTGACCTTCGAGGGCCTGAAGGAAAATTCCTGGGGAGTTAGGGAGGCTGGGTAGGGAGGGGGCAGCCTCCTATGTCAACCTTCAGATAATGTGAGACGCTGAGCTGAGAAGCCAGAGATGATGAGCAGGGCAGGGAGGCAGAGAGAGATGGAGGAACAGAGAGGGGGACAGAGACCCAGAGAGAGAGGGACAGAGACCCGGGGGGGGGAACAGAGACCCAGAGAGAGAGGGGACAGAGACCCAGAGGGAAAGGGACAGAGACCCAGAGAGAGAAGGGGACAGAGACCCAGAGAGAGAGGGGACAGAGACTCAGAGAGAGAGGGACAGAGACCCGGGGTGGGGGGACAGAGACCCAGAGAGAGGGGACAGAGACCCAGAGAGGGAGAGGGACAGAGACCCAGAGAGAGAGGGGGGCAGAGACCCAGAGAGAGGGAAAGAGACGTACAGAGAGAGGTGGGGGACAGAGACCCAGAGAGAGGGAGACAGAGACCCAGAGACAGAGGGGGCAGAGACCCAGAGGCAGAGGGAGAGACCTTGTGGGGGGCACAGAGACTCAGAGAAAGAGAGAGGGGACATAGACTCAAAGAGGCAAGGAGAGACCCAGAGAGAAAGCAAGGGGGAAGAGGCGAGCGGGAGCAGGAACAGTGGCTCAGGTGGGAGACGCACAGACACAGAGGGGAGGGAGAGACCCGCCAGGCTGCCGGGAGGGACAAGAGACAAAAAAGTCCACGGGAGCCAAGACTCATGAGAGACAGAAACACGGAGCGCTCCAGTGAGAGACGGAAACAGAACCGGAGTTGGAGGAGGGGAGGAGGGGAGAATCACCACTGAACAGGACAGACACCGCCATGCACAGACAGAAACACAGGGACTGAGAGGGGAGGAGCCAGCTGTGACAGCGAGAGGCAGGGGCCTGGGTGGAAAGCCTGGAACACAGACATGGCCTAGGAATTGGGCGAGTGGACCGAGGGACCAGCCGCTGTGGCCATCCCGGGACTGAGCAATTCCTGCGACGTGGGACAGCCAGTGCTGAAAGCAGATCTTTGCATCAGAGCTCACTGGTCCCGGCTGGTGGGACAGAATCAGGGACAGGAGTGGGCCACCGGTTTTTCTAATTCCCGAAGGAGCCCATTGTGAAATACGAAAGTGCCTTCTGACCTTGCCCCGCCAGGCCCTCTGCCCTGGGAAATGTGTGGTTTACCTTCCTTCATTTTCAAACGCTGAATGTTTCCAAATGAAAAGGTAAATTTGGCCCCATGTTTTTTTTTTTTTTTTAAGACGGAGTCTTGCTCTGTGACCCAGGTGGAGTGCAGTGGCACAATCTCAGCTCACTGCAACCTCCCCCTCCCAGCAGGTTCAAGCGATTCCCCCTGCCTCAGCCTCCAGAGCAGCTGGGACTCCAGGCACGCGCCACCACACCTGGCTAAAATTTTCTGTATTTTTAGTAGAGACTGGATTTCACCATGTTAGCCAGGATGGTTTCGATCTTCTGACCTGGTGATCCCCCCGCCTCAGCCTCCCAAAGTGCTGGGATTACAGGTGTGAGCCACTGTGCCTGCCCTGGCCCCACGTTTTGAGTCTTTGATGTATCCATGGAGCTCCCTCTGAAATGCACTCAGCTCCAAGAAGAGGAAAATTGACCTCTTCGTCTTCTGTGAACGCATTACAGCGATGCCTCTTGACCCTGGCTACACAGCAGAATCTCTAGGGAGAGCTTTCAAAATAAAATCGATGCCCAGGCCCCATCCCCAGACCTTGTGGTTTAAGTGGTCCAAGGAGGAGCTCAGCTCTGGGAATTTCAAAACATCCCCAGGGATTTCTGTGGGTAGCTAGGCTGAGACTTATCTATCTGTGGTTGTGAAAAAATGGCTTTGGGCTGGGAACAGTGGCTCATGTCTGTAATCCCAGCACTTTGGGAGGCTGAAGCAGGTGGATCATTGGACGTCAGGAGTTTGAGACCAGCCTGGCTAACATGGTGAAACCCCGTCTCTACTAAAAACTTGAAAATTAACCGGGGGTGATGGCGGGCACCTGTAATCTCAGCTACTCGGGAGCCTGAGGCAGAACTGCTTGAACCTGGGAGGTGGAGGTTGCAGTGAGCTGAGATCGTGCCACTGCATTCTAGCCAATAGAGTGAGATTCTGTCTTTAAATAAAAAGAAAAGAAAGAAAATACAACCTTGAAAACTCCCAGAGGACTGAGAAAGGCAGCACTGAGAGGCTAAAAACCCTGGGGTGCGGGTGGGAAACGGGGGGAAAATGTGAAGAGCAGCTTTGTTGTCAATATTTGCTAGTGGCGATGAAGGGTGCTTTGCTCAAGCCTGTCATCCCAACACTTTGGGAGACCATGGTGGGAGGATTGTTTGAGGCCAGGAGTTCGAGACCAGCCTGGGCAACATAGAAAGACCTCATCTCTACTGAAGAAGAAGAAAAAAAAAAATCAGCCAAGCATAGTGGCATGCACCTGTGGTCCCAGCTGTTAGGGAGGCTGAGGTGGGAGGATTCCCTTGAGCCCAGGAGGCAGAGGCTGCAGTGAGTCATGATCGCACCACTGCACACAGGACTGGGTATAGAGATGACCTTGTAAAAATATGCTGCACAGTCACTTGCACGGCTGCTTAGCAACCAAGAGGTGCTTAGTAAATGGTAGCTAACGACAATGGAAAAAAAAGTTCCCCAAACATTGACAGCCAAGCCACAGCTGGGGGTTTAGCAAGGGTCAGGTGCTGTTCAGAGAAACCCTACCTGAAGCTCCCTGTCACAGCTGGGAAGGCGGGGAGGCAAAGTCAGGGCAGCAGGCAGGAGAGACCGACTTTGCTTAGGGTTTGAGGAAGCCTCGGGGGAGAGGTGGGGAAGTGACACAAAACAGACCTGGGAGGCCGTGCACAGTGGCCCACGCCTATAATCCCAGCATTTTGGGAAGCCAAGGCAGGCAGAGGACCTGAGGTCAGGAGTTCGAGACCAGCCTGGCTAACATAGTGAAACCCCATCTCTACTAAAAATACAAAAATTAGCTGGGGGCGGTGGTGGGCGCCTGTAGTCCCAGCTACTCAGGAGGCTGAGGCAGGAGAATCTCTGGAACCTGGAAGGCAGAGGTTGCAGTGAGCCAAGATGGCGCCACTGCGCTCCGGCCTGGGCGACAGAGCAAAACTTGGTCTCAAACAACAGCAACAAGAAAACAAAGACATGGGAAAGAGCACGCCAGGCTGGGGCCCAGCAGTCCACAGACGTGGTGCTGCATTCTAGACTATCTTCAAGTTCTCTGTGGCCAAGGATACACCATGGTGGGCATGGGAGGTGGGTAAGATTTTTTTTTTTAAGGCTGGAGGGGGTCAGGTTACACGCAGCCCCCAGTGCTTTGTGGAGGGCCCGGGATTCTTATCTCGGGTGAGGGCGCAGGGCCACTGGAGGGCTGTGAGGAGAGAGCTCTGGGTACAGGAGGACCCCTCTGAGGACTGCAGGAGAGAGATAGAAAGCTGGGGTGAGGGGCCAGCGGGAGAGGAAGCCCAGGCAGGGAGGAGGGAGGAAGCAGCCCAGGACCACCCAGGTCTCAAAAAAATTGTAATTTTAAGCAAGACTTTGTCTCAAAAACAAACAAACAAAAAAACTAACTAACTGTAGTTTTTGCCAAAACCAACATTTATTTCTTGCGCCCAACCTTTAAGGGAACCAATTTCTAGCTGAGAAAATAGTGCAACATCGCCACTGTGTGGTTGTTTGAAGTTTTGCAGCCAAGAACTCGAAAGCAAAGCCAGTCTCCAAATCCGGAAGCTTTTGAGATTTCAGGAGAATGCCATGGCCGCTGATGCTAAAACACTGGCCTAAAATACTGGTGATCCACAAAAATTCTATTAATTTGAGATAAAATTACAGTGCGACTATGAATCTGTTTATTACTGAAATCTGTGGCCGGGCACAAATTACAGTGGTGCACGCCTGTAATCCCAGCACTTTGAGAGGCTGAGGTGGGCGGATCACCTGAGGTCAGGAGTTTGAGACCAGCCTGATCAACATGGAGAAACCCTATCTCTACCAAAAATACAAAATAAGCTGGGCGTGGTGGCACATGCCTGTAACCCCAGCTACTCAGGAGGCTGAGGCAGGAGGACCGCTTGAGCCCAGGAGGTTGTGGTGAGCCGACATCATGCCATTGCATTTCAGCCTGGACAAGAAGAGCGAAACTCTGTCTGAAAAACAAACCCAGCCTGGCCAACATGGTGAAACCCTGTATCTACTAAAAATACAAAATTTATCCAGGTGCGGTGGCAGGTGCCTGTAGTCTCAGCTACTCGGGAGGCTGAGACAGGAGAATCACTTGAACCCAGAGGCGGAGGTTGCAGTGAGAGGAGATCACGCTCTTGGGCGACAGAGCGAGATTCCATTTCAATAAAATAAAACAAAATAAAAAACCTGTTAGGCTTTTCCAGAAAAACCTAGCATGTATAGTCAACCCTACTCCAAAGCCACCTTTCAGATACTGAGTTAAAATGAAATCCCTTCTGACTGGATGAGAAGGTAGGTGAAATGCCACTGAAGGTTGAGGTGTCCCCCAGGCCATTCACCTGGGGAGACTGGAGATAGAGGCAGGGGCTGGGGGAGGGGCACTAAGCAAGGGGCTGCTAGTGAACGGCCTACAGGGGCTGGTCTGGACACTTTTTTAGGGAGGAACACTGCTGGTGGGTGTTGAAGGTTTAATATAAGTTTGCTAAAGAGAAGAGAGGCTGAGCACAGTGGCTCACACCTTAATTCCAACACTTCAGGAGGCTGAGGCAGGAGGATTGCTTGAGGCCAGGAGTTAGAGACCAGCCTGGGCAACATAGTGAGACCCTGTCTCTAAAAATTAAAAAGTTAGCTGGGCATGGTGGTGCGCACCTACAGTCCCAGCTACTCAGGAGGCTGAGGCAGGACTGCTTGAGCCGGGAGTTCAGGGTTGCAGTGAGCTATGATCACACCACTGCATTTCAGCCTGGGCAACAGAGTGAGGTCCCATCTCAAAAAGAAAAAAAAAAAAAGGAAGATGTGTTGATACAGCATGATGATGAGGAAGATGGCGGTAACTACAGACCCGCCGCAGCCGACTAAGCGCATTCATGACTTGGATCTCAGGCTCCCCTGGCTGTGGTTTTCTGGGGCCCACGGGACAAAGATTTTTGCTTCTGTCTGATGAAGACATCAGGGAATCAGAGGGAAATGACAAATCTGAAGTACACAGCAGCCTGTGCTGGGGCCGGGTGCTGAAGCTGCCCTGCTCTTTCTTCCCTCTGTGCCCTTACATCCAAAGTTGCAATGTTCTTCCCCTTCTTCCAATGCCCCACACAGACTCCTACTCATCCCTCAAAACCCAGCTCAGATTCCCAGCTCCTAGCCTCAAAGCTGAGAGGGTGGGCCCTCACTACTCTCCTACCTCAGAGCCTGGAGTTTGGACCCCTACCTGACTCTGTCCGGAAACACAGAGCCCCCAGGTGTGGGGCGAAGGGGCAGCGGGTGCGGGCAGCAGGATGTGCGGATTCAGTTACATTTATTTGGTCTCAGACCAATGGTCAGGGCAGAGGCAGGGCTCTTGGGTGGGGAGGTCCTGTGTCTTCTCAGTGCTGAGCCTGAGAGAGGAAAACGGAGATATACAGAGAGTGGGGAGAGAAAGAGAGACCAAGATGACAAAACCGGGCCAGGGAGACAGAGAGACTCCACCCCACCTCCGCCTCTCCTCCTGCTCACCTTGTTGAAGAAGTAGATGGAGGCCAGGATGGTGAACACGGCCATGGCCAGGGTCACATTCTGCAGGGAGGAGATCAGAGGTCAGGATCCTTCCCCTCCCTGCACTCTGCCCCGCCCCAGGCCTCCCTTCCCTGCCAGACCCCTCCTCACCTCCTGAAAGTTCATGGCCATGGGACTTCGGCTTCCCCCTGCTTGGCCTCCGTTTCCCCTTCCCGGGCCTCTGAGCCAGACAGGGGAGAAGCCACTGGAACCCCGAGAGGGGGTTGTTGGAGAGACCAGAATGGTGGCCATAGCAACGGGGGAAGGGCATTCTGGTAGAGGGGACAGGCAGGGGCTTAGGGCAGAGGGTGACCTAGGTGTGGCCTGCCACATGTGGTATCTGAATGTGGCATCAGGGCATGTGAGATTGGAGAGTCTGAACCTCAAACACCACACTGAGGCGTCTGGGCTTTTCCTTGGAGGGTGCTGGGGAGCCATGGGAGGGTTCAGAGCAGAGGAGGGACTGGCTCAGTTCTGGGTGTAAAAGTACCTTAAAGCAGGAGCAGTCTGCAGGCCAGGAGAACAGTGAAGAGGCCGAAGCAAAATTTCCTCCTCCAGATAAGAGCACCACGTGAGCCACTGTACTCCAGCCTGGGCAACAGAGTGAGATCCCGTCTCTACAACTACAATTTAAATAATAATAATAATAATAAAACTCGATCACTTGCAGGTGAGCAAAAAAAGAGAAAATAGAAAAAAAAATAAAAAATACATGTGATACGTGTGTCAGATATCTATTTACCTCTCTATCTCTGCCACAAAAATGGGAATTATATGGTCTGGCTATTCAGATAGTTATTTGGATTATTTGTGGCAGATACTAGTCTCACTATTTTTGGTAGTTATATTGTATAACTGTGAACGCTTCTTGGGGAAATATATATATAAAACATATATACACACATATTTTTAATATCTATACACATGTACATATAAATATATGTACATATATAATATAAATGTACATAACTATAAACTACAATAATACATATATATACATATACACACACACACACATATATATACACACGTTTGTGTGTGTGTGTGTGTGTGTGTGTGTACACATATATATCCCATCTCTACCAAAAATACAAAAAAATTAGCCGGGGATGGTGGCGCACACCTGTAATCCCAGCTACTTGGGAGGCTGAGGCACAAGCATCACTTGAACCCAGTGAGGTGGAGGTTGCAGTGAGCCCAGATTGCACCACTGCACTCCAGCCTGGGCAACAGAGCAAGACTCCATCTCAAGAAAAAGAAAAAGAAAAAGAAATAAATATATATATTGAAAAATACATACTTTTAATAATGAAGCAATGGTTTATTATTTGCTCATTCAGTGGTCACAGTTATACAACATGGCTACTGTGAATAACAAGAATTGATTGTAAAATGATACCTCAGGGAACCACCCAGAAACTTCCAGAAGCAATACATTCTGCAGAGCAACTGGCACCATCTCTCCAACAAATCCGTGTCACAAAGCAAAACAGAAGCAAGTGGCCTTGCTATATTTTTAAAAATCCGTTAAGAGACACAGGACCGGCTTTAATGGCTGATCCTGGACCCGGTTTTGGTTTGGACAAACAAGTTATAAAGGCTCTCTGGGTGGGAGGGAGAGGCAGGAGGATCACTTGAAGCCAGAAGTTTGAGACCAGCCTGGGCAGTGTGGCGAAACTCTCTCTCTACTAAAAATACAGAAAAATAAGCCAGGCGTGGTGGCGCATGCCTATAGTCCCAGCTACTTGGAGGCTGAGGCAGGAGGATCGTTTGAATCTGGGAGGCAGAGGTTGCAGTGAGCTGAGATCGCACCCCTGCATTCCAGCCTGGGTGACAGAACAAGACTTGTCTTCCAAAACCAAACAAATGGAACAAACAAAACAACCAAAGTGTGTCTGGGGAGAAACTGAGGGACATTTGAACAGGGAGTCAGTATCAGGCAAGATGAAAGCACTTTTGCCAAGGAGAGGAGGTTGTTAACTGAAAGACCCAGGCTACGAAACTGCAGGTTCTGTATCATCTCATTTTGGTGAGAAGTCCATATATGAAAAATATGTACTTCTCACCAAAATGAGATGTGCATTTAAAAATCAGGTTTTGGCCGGGCGTGGTGGCTCATGCTTATAATCCCAGCACTTTGGGAGGCCAAGGCAGGTGGATCACCTGAGGTGAGGAGTTCGAGACCAGCCTGATCAACATGGTGAAACCCTGTCTCTGCTAAAAAATAAGAAAATTAGGCATGGTGGTGTGTGCCTGTCATCCCAGCTACTCAGGGAGGCTGAGATAGGAGAATTGCTTGAACTCGGGAGGCAGAAGTTGCAGTGAGCCAACATTATGACACCGTACTCCAGGCTGGGAAACAGAGCAAGACTCCATTAAAAAAAAAAAAAATCAGGTTTTACTCTGTCTCCCAGGATGGAGTGGAGAGACACAGTCAGGGCTCACTGCAGCCTCAGCTTTGGGCTCAAGCGATCCTCCCACCTCAGCACCCCCACCCCCAATAAGTGGCCGGGACTACAGGCATGTGCCACTACAGCTGGCTAATTTTTTGTTATTTTTAGTACAGATGGGGTTTCATCATGTTGTCCAAGCTGGTCTGAAACTCCTGAACTCAAGTGATTTGCCCACCTTGGTCTCCCAAGGTGTCAGGATTAGAGGCATCAGCCGCCATGCCTGGCCTAGTTACACCGATTTTAGACTTCTGACCTCCAGAACCTTAAGGGAATAAATGCGTGTCCAGAGCGGTAACTTGTCACAGCAGCCACAGAGCAGCCAATCCATCAGTAGACATTAAAGTGCTAACACTCGAGGGCTAGAACATGGTTTCTAGCTTCTTAATTTTGTGTCAGGGTTTTGTTTTTTCTCTTTTTTGTATTTTTTTTAAAGACAGGGTCTTGCTCTGTTGTCCAGGCTGGAGTGTAGTGGCACGATTATAGCTCACTGCAGCCTCAAATTCCTGGACTCACACGATCCTCCCATCTCAATCTCTTGTGTTGCACCCTATCATGCCTGGCGAATTTTTGTTTATTTTTTATAGAGAGAGAGTGGGGAGTCTCACCATGTTGGCCAGGCTGGTGTGCGCTGCTAGCTCTTGGTCTGCCTTAAGCCTCCAGCTCTTCTATTTCTTTATTCTAGGGACCTCTACCCTATCTCCAGCGTGGGGAAGAGAGAGATTCATGAAACTTTTGTATCCAGTGTGCTGGCTGACACCTGTAATCCCAGTACTTTGGGAGACTGAGGTGGGAGAACTGCTTAAGCCCAGGAGTTCAAGACCAGTCTGGGCAACACAGTGAAACCCTGTCTCAAACAAACAAACAAACAAAACCACCAGGAGAGGACTGGAGGCTGACTGTCCATAGGGAGGCAGGGGCCAGCCCCATGTGGCGCTGTTTGACCGTCATTCTGGGATGCTGAGGCCGCCCGAGCAGCCCTTTAAAAGGTGACTTGTTAGGCCGGGCGCGGTGGCTCAAGCCTGTAATCCCAGCACTTTGGGAGGCCGAGGCGGGTGGATCACGAGGTCGAGAGATCGAGACCATCCCGGTCAACATAGTGAAACCCCGTCTCTACTAAAAATACAAAAAATTAGCTGGGCATGGTGGCGCGTGCCTGTAATCCCAGCTACTCGGGAGGCTGAGGCGGGAGAATTGCCTGAACCCAGGAGGCGGAGGTTGTGGTGAGCTGAGATCGTGCCATTGCACTCCAGCCTGGGTAACAAGAGCGAAACTCCATCTCAAAAAAAAAAAAAAAAAAAAAAAAAAAAGGTGACTTGTTATACTCACAGCTTCCCCAGAGGAGGGGCACGTCACAGGGACCGCATGAAGTACCAGGGGTGCCCAGGAGGCAGACCACAGGCAAGCATCTTCCGTGTGTTTTCTGTGGGATACAGGGGTTAAGGAGTGGCCGGCTGAGCCAATCAGCAGGCTCTGGGCACTGGCGCTGTCCTGAGTTGTCCAGTACCCTGCCCTCGGTGATCAAGGGCGGGTGGATGGTGGCTTGAGTGGTTGGGGTGTGGGCTCTGGGTTGGCTGGTTTGCACAGAGAGGTATGCTCCTGGGCCAGTCATGACTTTCTGGGAACTGGTAACCCTGGGAGGGGTAGTCCTTCTATGATCAGCAAGGCCCCCATGTCAAAGCATCAAAGTACAGAAAATCAAGCACATGATTACTCCTGTCAGCCTCCGTAACTGGAGGTGTCAAGGCTGTCGCTGAGACGAACAATGTAGGGTGGGGGTGGGGGTGTCCTGAGTCTGCATCCAGGTAAAGGCACCTGGGTTCAAATCGCAGCTTTGAGAAATCTGTGTTTTCTCAGACAAGTTCCTGAACCCGCCTGTGCCTCAGTTTCCCCATCGGCACAATGGGGATGGTGATTAGCACACTAATGCCTCCTGGGGCTGTGGTGAAGATGAAATGGGTTAATCCAAGGCTGGCAGAGGTGCAGGAGGAGCGGGATCGGCGGCCCTGGGGGAGCGTGCCGGGGCCTGCTATAATGGGGGTGCTGAGTGCAGCACTTGGACAGGCAGGGCTGCGGCCCAGACAGTGGGCTGAGCTCAGCGTCTGGGCCGGGTGGAAATGGCCGGGCTGGGGTTTTGGGGCCACCCTGCTGCATCTCTCCTGCTGCTCCTATTGCTGCTGCCACCCTGGGCCCTGCCAGAAGGACCCCTGGTGTTTGTGGCTCTGGTGAGGCGCCCCCGCCCCCGGCGGCCCTCAGCTTCCCCAGGGCCAGCCCTGACCGGTCCTGTCCCCAGGTGTTCCGCCACGGCGACCGGGCCCCACTGGCCTCCTATCCTACGGACCCACACAAGGAGGCGGCCTCCACCCTATGGCCACGAGGCCTGGGCCAGCTGACCAGGGTGAGAAGCGGGTGGGGGGTGACGGTGAGGGTGGGAGGGGTGGGGAAGGGTCGGCTGAGGCTGTTCTGTCCCCAGGAGGGCGTCCGCCAGCAGCTGGAGCTGGGCCGCTTCTTGAGGAGCCGCTACGAGGCCTTCCTGAGTCCCGAGTACCGGCGGGAGGAGGTACTGCCATAGTGACCTCCACCTGGCACCCTGACCTCCCACCTTTGACCTCCACTGACTCCAATGCTTTTTGGGCCTCCACCTCTGGCCTTTGACCTCCATCAACCTGCCCTGCACTCTACCTCTAATCTCTGACCCCCAATACACTGACTAGTGCACCCTGACTTCTGACCCCATCTTAACCCTGCCACATCTTGAGCTCTGACTCCTGACTTCATTTTCTGGTCTCCATCTCTGTTTTCTTAGTCCCACTGACTCCAGTCAGACCGCTGACCTCTGACATTTCATCCCAAACTTGATTTTCATCTTTAACCTTTGTTCATTTAACTTGCTCTCCTGGTGTCTAACCTTTGACCTCTACACTTGGCAATTCTGACCTACCTTTCCTGTCTCCTCCCGTCTTCTGACATCCCCCAGTTGCCATCAGTCCCCTGACTGCTGATGAACGTGAATGAACTCTGACCCCAAGTCCTCCAAGTTGCCCTCCTAAACTTGACCTCTAACCTCCAGCCTCCACTGATTCTCATCTTCCTTTTTGACCCTCACCGACTCAAATGATCCCCAAAATCCAACATGGCTGTCTAGCTTAGGATGTCCAACCCAACTGCTCCCGACACTGACCTCTGGATCCTTGATCCCAACTTCCAGGATCGAAAGCCACATGACTCCCAATGTCTGACCCCTATCCCAAACGGAATCTGAGGCTTCCGATTTGCACCACAGCTGACCTCTGACCCCGACCACCACCCCCCGTGAGCCCTCTCCCCACCCGGCCCCAGGTGTATGTCCGCAGCACGGACTTTGACCGCACGCTGGAGAGTGCCCAGGCCAATCTGGCTGGGCTGTTTCCCGAGGCTGCTCCAGGGAGCCCCGAAGCCCACTGGAGGCCGATCCCGGTGCACACGGTACCTGTGGCTGAGGACAAGGTCAGGGGGCCAGACCTGGGTGTGGTAAGGGAGGGAGCGGGTGGAGAGAGGGAGATGGGACAGCTCCAGGCCTGGCTGGAGTGAGATGGGGGGAGTCCCAGCCCGTGCTGCTCTTTTGGACCTGGGAGTGACTGCGACAGACGCAGGGGCTGAGGGCCCGCCGGACCGGCTGTGAGACCTGAGGCACACGGCTGTCCTCTCTGAGCCTCAGTTTTCCCCAGCTGCTGAGATTCCCCATGCGCAGCTGTCCACGGTACCACGAGCTACTGCGGGAGGCCACTGAGGCCACCAAGTACCAGGAGGCCCTGGAGGGCTGGACGGTGAGCCGGGCGGTGGCCGGGGGCGGGGAGCCAGGGATGGGCCGGGGTTCACCCAGCCCTGCACATCTAGGGCTTCCTGACTCGCCTGGAGAACTTCACGGGGCTGTCGCTGGTTGGAGAGCCGCTGCGCAGGGCATGGAAGGTTCTGGATACGCTGCTGTGCCAGGTGAGCCCCGCCCCTTCCCAGCCAAGGGGTTAAGGATACCTGTTTCAAATCCCAGCTTGCTACTTGCTAGCTGTGTTCCCTTAGGCATTTATTTAACCCTGTGCCTCGGTTTCCCCATCTGCGCAGGGGGGATGGGAACACTGCAACAACACCTCTCGAGGCTGCTGTGAGCATTCAAATGTGTTAATCCACGCACTGTGCTTTCAATAGCGCCTGGCACACAGCAAGGGCCTCACCAGGCTTTGAGGCTACAAATTTGGCCATTCCTCCCCACAGTCCTGCAATCAGAAAACTCTTGGAAATAGATATTGTAAACAGATGCTCGGTGCCACAAAGAAGAATTAGCACTGAGACAAAGGGGCTTTCGGCAATGCAATTTTTGCTTCCTGGACGGCAGGAAGGGTACTCTTACTAGCCACCGTACCACGGAAGTAGAGAACAAAAGAAAACATACAAATTTATCCCTTACGCATTTGGGGTTGTCCTTACTGCTGTGTCTGATCTCCGTGGGCTGGAGCCAGACCTCACAATCTGAACTAAAACCCAGTTGGCTAATAAACCTTTTCTGAACAGGTACACAGATATTTTGGTTAAAGTGCAAGGAAACCGAATGTACTACATGCCTGTAAGCATGGCATGTCTAACAGCGACAGAGGATAGGGCTTAACAGAGTTATTAGCACACTTATTCTTTAACAAGAAAGGCAACTTTAAAAAGGAACTTTTTTACTTCCTACGAAACCTAACACCTGGGTAGCAGGAGCTGACCTGCAGTGATGCAATGCTCTCTCCTCCTTCCTTCCCTTCTTTTTCTTTCTTGAGACAGGGTCTCACTCTCTCACCCAGGGTGGAACGCAGTGGCACTATGGTAGCTCACTGCAGCCTCCATCTCTCTGGCTAAAGGAATCCTCCTGCCTCAAGTGCACATCACCATGCCTGGCTAATTAAAATAAACTGTTAGTTTTTTTTTTTGAGATTGTCTTGCTCTTGTTGCCCAGGCTGGAGTGCAATGGCAGTCTCGGCTCACAGCAATCTCCGCTTCCCGGGTTTAAGCAATTCTCCTGCCTCAGCCTCCTGAGTAGCTGGGATTACAGGCATGTGCCACCATACCCGACTAATTTAGTATTTTTAGTAAACATGGAGTTTCTCCACGTTAGTCAGGCTGGTCTTGAACTGCCGACCTCAGGTGATCTACACACCTCAGTCTCTCAAAGTGTTGTGACTACAGGCGTGAGCCACCGCATCCAGACAAAATTTTTGTGGGCAGAGATGGGGTCTCCCTATGTTGCCCAGAACTCCTAGGCTCAAACAATCCTCCCACCTCAGCTTCCCCAAGCGCTGGGAGTACAGGCGTGAGCTGCCACACCCAGCTAGTACTCTTGTTAGTCTTTGCTCGCTCCAGCTCACGGAATGTTCCAAATTGCAAGGTGAAAGCAGCGATGTGTGTGACTAAGGGGGCTGCCCCAGCTCTTGCTGTGTGTGTTCCCTGCTCTGTGGTATCAGCACCATCAGACCTTTCTAAAGTCCAGAATGTCCGAGTTGTGGAAACCCTCTGGCCCCAAGGGTTTCAGATAAAGCCTTCTGGGCTGTGTAATGACGATGTCTATTATTAATAATCACGGTTGGCTGGACACGGTGGCTCATACCTGTAATCCCACCACTTTGGGAGGCCAAGGCAGAAAGATCACCTGAGGTCAGGAGTTCGAGACCAGCCTGACCAACATGGTAAAACCCCGTCTCTACCAAAAATACAAAAATTAGCTTGACATGGTGGCAGGAGAATCACTTGAACCCAGGAGGCAAAGGTTGTGGTGAGCCAAGATCGCGCCAACTCACTCCAGCCTGGGTGATGGGAGCAAAGGTTCCACTTCAAAAAATAAAAATAATCACTATTGTTCACATCATGGTTTCCCAGCCAGATCCAGCCCATGGGGGACTCAGAAGGGCAGGGGGCAGCAGAAGCCTGGGGCACCAGAGGCGAATTCGAGGGCTCAGGGTGGTCCATCTCTGTCCTCCCTGCCTCCCCACAGCAAGCCCATGGTCTTCCCCTACCAGCCTGGGCCTCCCCAGAAGTCCTGCAGACTCTTGCCCAGATCTCAGCTTTGGATATTGGCGCCCACGTGGGCCCACCCCGGGCAGCAGAGAAGGCCCAGCTGACAGGAGGTAAGGTGTGGGGCTGGGAGGCTGGGGTGCCTTCCTTTGGGAGATTCCAAGTTGTTTTCCCCCCACCCGCAGGAATCCTGTTGAATGCTATCCTTGCAAACTTCTCCCGGGTCCAGCGACTGGGGCTGCCCCTCAAGATGGTCATGTACTCAGCTGTGAGTCCTTGGGAAGCAGTGCCACGTGGCGCTGAGACAAGGGGATGAGGGTGACAGCAATTTGGGTGAGGAAGTCTGTGCTCCCAACAGACCTCAGCCCACTGCCTTGGGTGACCAGTATCTCCCAACCCTAG